TAGACTCTTGGCACTCTTAGGTGAGTAGACTTAGTCAGCCTGTGTTGTCCTAACAATGTCCCATTCTTGCAGCAAAATGTATTTGCCTCGGCACTGAGAATCCAGGGAGAGTCTTAGTGTTAGACATGTGTAAGGGCTCACTCAATAATAGGATTGACCTGAAGAGCATTGCACTGCAGTAAAGACAGACCCTGTTCCACTGTGAGATTGCACACTGCCAGCCAGCCACAGTGGAAGATTTTGGGAAGAGATGCCACCATGATTCGATTTGTCTGGGTGGTTGGTTCATTTGCTGTGTTCTGCTGCCAGGGAAGTTTTGTGGTGTACAGGCAGGATACCCTTGACATGGTTAGTGCCCATGTTATTCTGAGCTTCCAGATGCTGCTGTCTCTGCCGATTTCTATACCTGGCCTGTCAATCTCTTCTCATAGCTCGATACTGGTGCCACTGTTCTTCTGTCATATTCTGTTCTCAATGTCAACATTGTTCTCACTCTCTTTGGTGCCAAAGAAGGTGGGCTTCTTCTGTCTCCTGTTCTCTTCTTGCACAATGCCTTTGGGCATTGGCCTCTCTTCTATGAATGCCATGTGCTCCATGTGCCTGAGGAAGGTGCTGTTCATCTTCTAGGGGCATCTCAAGCCAGTCATTGGGAGATGGGAGCTACGAAAGCCTGCCATCTCTATTTGACCTCTCCACAAATATGTCTCAGTGGGCCTCTCTTGCCCTGACCAGTGTGAGGAAAGAAACAGGGTACAGTGTGCTCATTCAATGCAAATTCCGAGAGCCAGTTCCACCTCAGACAACCATACAGAAGGCAACTATGTTGATGTGCATCAAGGACATCTGGTCCGCTTTCTCGGTGAACCTGTTTCACCATTGCCTTGGTGATCGAGGCTAAGCTCTGTTGCAACTTTGATTCCTTCAGCCAGACCATTTTCTTGTCTCAAAGGTATCTGCCCTTTTGAGGTGGTTGGTGATCCAGCTGGGAAAGGAGTGTTGATCTGTGAAGCAGAGTGAGACCACTGAAAGGCTGATTTCGATGGTGTAGCTGGTGCTGGCAATGGTGCTGATGATGTGGTTCCAGAGAGATAGTCATAATCAAGAATCTGTAGGATAGCAATTCAACAATAAATATTAACTGTGGAAAACTGTCTCTTACCTGGAGTGAGAATCACTTAGAAGCCAGAGTCAAGTCTTCCTGTGAAAGGGATATGCTGGTAAGAACTCCAGTCACATGCAAAGTTGCATTTGAAGTGACATGGGGGGTTGATTTAGCAAACTGCCCTCCATCCGGAAAGTAGCACCGAAAGGCAAGAAGCCTTCTTGCCAGTGGAAATCCATGGCATGGCATCCATATCAAAGGTATGAGCATGAACATTGAAAGGATGTGCCGCAATGCAGACTACAGGAGGGATTGGCAGTTTCTCATGGCAGAGCGGAAGAAGCTGGCCAAACAATCAGCACCTGCCATCATATTAACTCAGGAAAACATACCACCAAGCAATCCAGCTCAAACTCAAAATCATCTGTATTGAAGCCATCACTGACAACCATAGAGGTTGTCCTGGATGCAATCTTGGCTGTGATGCTGTATACCCCAACTTCCAGCTCCAAAGCTCTGCTGGGCAGGAAATAGTGCAAGATGCCAACCACATCATCAGTCATGAGGATGTTGTCAAGGTTGCCAGCTACAGGTGCCATGGGTAAGGCTACGCTGCAGGTTAGAGTACATGAGCCAGCTGCAGATGGATGCCAATCATAGCAACCTGCAATAGCAGTGAGGATAACCAACATGGCAAAAGATTATTGAGGGGATAGAGCAAGGGAGTTCCTCCAGTTTGCCATCCATCTTTATGCAGTAGCTGGTAAACACTTGACTCAGTATTGTGAGACAGGGTACATCTTTGGCAAACATCAGAGACAGTAATCTGTACCACCGGAAAGAAGGACACACAATGAAACACCCCCCACAACAGGCAAGACATGCCAAAGTATCACATGTTACCCTCCCAAATAACCAATCATGTGTGACACCTTCAGACATCTGATGAGATGCCAAACCATGTCTACTATTAACCATACCAAAGTTGGCACCATGGCAATCACAAATCAATCACTGAGAACTGACCAAAAAATGTGAAAGTCTACACTTAGGAAGGTGATGGAAAAAAGGTAGCATGTATCATTGAAGAGGACCATAACACCTAGTCACTATATTAAGCTACTGTCTTTCTATAATCTTTGCAAAGATTGGCATCCATAAGGCCAGAAAACACATACCTAGTTCCCCTAAAGTATGTGGTGTGATGTGCCAAGTGCCTGGTGTTGATAAACAGCAACTGGCCTGGACAAAGTGGGATCTGAATCCTCAGCTGAGGGAGGACCAAATAGGCAGTGGTGAAGTTGCCTAGGACAAACAGGATACTGTACTGATTACCATCATGATTCAAATCGATATGGGGCACAGGGGCATGGCCCTCTCTGAAGACCAGCATGTGCCAGGCACATTGTTGAAGCTGAGGTCTATCAGCCAAAGTATCAGCCAATGCTGGGTGAGAATAGGTCCAGTCCAGGATCCTGCTAAAGTGTTAGGAGTTACCCATCTAAAGCATGTCAAAGGATGAACCTCTTTCTCTCCTCATATACCTCAGGTTGATGACTATGCAACAACCTCATAGCCCTTTTGCCCACCACCATGTCCATAACCTCCAAAAGGACATCCATTCACCTCTTCACCAAAGGATTCTGGTTAACCAAATCTCTGCTAAAGGCAGGCACTGGGCTGGATCTTCTCCAAACACCCAAGTGGAGTCCTGGTACTGATGAGTGACTGAACTCTTCCTCCTGTCTTAGGTAAGACTTGGGAAGTTTTGAGTAGAAGTCTTTGGTGAGGTTGAGCAAGGTGTCGAGATGCTGAGATGGAACACCATCATGAACTCAAAAGAGAGGACAATCTAGTGTCACTCCCTTGGGTAGAGGCTGGGCTGGATTGACCTGGTACACCCAATCACCAGTCTCAGGAGCACAGGGAATGGGTGTAGGAAGGGGGTTGTGCAAGAAGGCAGCCATGAGAGAATCCAAGACTGCTGCATTGCTGGAAGGACGTCTGATGAACAGTTCCAGGTAGGAGGGAATAAGTTGAACATCTATCCATCATGTGAGTATACAGGAGATGCAATCCAAAGTATAGCAAGATGAACCATTATCCCCCAAGCCCCTGGTCCTGCAGCTCTCAAGCCAACCCATAAAGCTGTGCAATTTCATTGCATCACTCTTGTGCTTTCTCCTCTTGTCACAGGGCAAAGGTCTGTCCAGAGCATCCATATCAGGCACCAGAAGGGAAACATGGGCTGGGTCAGACATGCAGTCCATCCACAACACCCAGAAAACAACAGCAAAGCAAGGACAAACAAAACCATGTCGAATGATGAACAGCCCAAAGAGCAGCAGCAAAAAGTTTTACAGGGGGAAGCACCACCCTAGCACCCTGCCCTGGACCAGACCACATCACTGGCCTCCCTCATTACATTCTTTCACTGATCTGACCCAAAAGGGGTCTGAAATATTGGTCCAATGGGTGGTGAGTGAGAACTTGCCCAGGAAAGAGGGGAGAGAAGGGGAAAGTCAGTATAAAAGTGGGAGTCAGCCTGTAGCTGACCTATCAAAAAGCAGTACACTATAATCAGAGCTTGTTGTCCATCCAGTCAAGTCACAATAAGTCAAGTCCAATATGCTAAGTCAAGATGATGTTGCCTATCCAGTAAGGGGATAATCAGATCCATATAACACTAATGGAAAAGGGGCAGAATAAGCTAGATACAAGAGTTTCTGGAAACTACTTATACTAGCTACTAAAAACCACACTCTTTACTAATCTGGTCTCTAGATACCTCTCCTAGGCAGGCATTGGCATGCCAAATATCCGTGTGGGTCGACCCTGTTGTGGAGGAAACCTACAGCCATCATGCCAAATATCCGGGTTGTCCTGTCACATGGGAAACCTTGCAGTTGTCATGCCAAATATCTGGGTAGGGTCAAGACTCATTGCTGGGGTGCATTGTCTGCATAGTGAGGGTCTGTAGGGCTGCGCAACAGTCTCTAAGGCCCAAAAATAGCCGTGGGAATATCTGCCTGACACACCCCACTGGAGGTGGGGTTGTTCATCCCCCCCAAACCTTGAATACTGACTCCCTGAGTCAGTGGGAATGTGGGTGGCACAGTGTGCAGTCAGGAATGCAGTGCGGTACTGCCAAATATTGAGCAAAGTGAGAGCGGCATTATCAAGGACCAATCATAAGATGTGCCATGGTAAGACATTGGGCTGTGTATTGGGGTGCTGGCAAAATGGTGGATTCAAATATTTGGTAAGGAGGTGTATTGGAGGATGGTGCTGTGCATTTGGCACTAAGGGTGGCTGGTTGACATGTGAGGACCCTAAGCAGTGGCTTGCAGTGCTGCTTAAGTCTGCAAGAAGGACCCTGGCCATGTTTTTTGCATTGAGTCACATGGTGCCTGAGACCCTGATTGGTCAATTTATTGCTTTGCAAAGCCTGGTGTGGTGTTTATCTGCACTGCCTGAGCTGAAACTTCATTCCAGATATCAGTGCTTAGTGGGGCCCATGCACATTTTCATTTTCTGTTGAGGGCTGGTCTTGCCTATAAATGGAACTGAATTTCACCTTTCTTGTCCACTCAAAGCTCAACTTCACCTCCCTGCCTTTACTCAAACATGCCATCCATGCCTGTAAAGAAGCCCCTTAAGCCACTCCCGAAGCCGCCAACCATTGCCCAACTCCTCAGCAATGCAATCAAGATTGTTGACATCATGGTCTCCACCATCAACAAGCCAAATTTCTCGGTTGCAAAATATGCGGATGGCGTGCTGATCTGGGATGCGGTGATGCTCCTCGTGAGGAGCAGGGAAAGACACCGTGTTGCCAATCTCCCTGAGGTGTGGCTTGACCTGCTGCTGGAGGACAATCAAGAGGAACTGGTCCAACTGACCAGGCCAGCAGAGGAGAAGAAGGAGGAGCAGGAGCAGGAGCAGGAGCAGGATGATGCTGATGAGTTTTTTTGGCAATCTGCCAGACAATTTCTCAGTATGTCTGTCCAATGGATGTGCTTTTTTCATGTCACTGATTTCTTTTGTCAGAAACATCATTCCACCACTGCGTCAAGCCCTGCTGTGGCCAACAAAGAGCAGTCTGTCAAGGCGAAGCCGAGTCCCACAAAAGGGAAAGTGGTGGCCACTGCCCCCACACATGCCAGGCATGGTAGGCTGAGCAAGGCAGCCACCCAATGCGTGGTAAGTCGCCTGTTTTTCCTTCCTTTTCTGCAACTGTGAAACTGACCAGCAATTTATTGCAGGGTTGGCTTTCGGAGGAGACACTGGCCACTCTCCTGCTGGTCTCTAAGAATAATGTGGTGGTGGAGTCCTTCTTGGAGGAAAATTGTGTAAGTTGCGCCTCTGTTTTTGTTTTGTGTCAGCAGTAGGTGCTGATGGTTTTTGGGCAGTGTAAGACTTGTCACAAGCATGTTGTCCTGGATGGTGATGTGCCCAGCCACAAGTGTGACATAGCGGAGCAGTTGGGAAAGGGAGTGTGCTCAGCATGTAAGGTGGTGAAAAAGCCATGCAGCATGTGTATAAGTACACCATATTTCTTTTGCAGGTTTCCCTCAGTTTTCATTTGACTGACTCCTTTCTTTAGTGCACAACAAAAATGTGGCTGCCCCAAAGGTTGAACTCTTCTGCCTGGAGACCCCAGAACCTGGTCCCGCATGCCCACTCTGGTGGCCGAAAAAAAAGAAGGCTGTGCCCAAGTGCATTACCTGAGCCGCAAAGGCCAAAAAGCACAAGAGGGAGGATGACAAGGATGCACCTGGGCCATTGCAAAAGTGGTCCCACCTTCCAGAGGCTGGTAAGTCTTTTCCTTGTGTAGTTCATATTTGGGCAATGCTAACTGAACATTTTAGAAGTCAAGCCACTGGTTGCACTGCTCAGTACGGTGGAGCACAAGATGCTGGAGCTCCAGAAGAGCCTGCAAATGGTGCAGAAAGCACTGGACACCATAACAAGCTGGGCAGAGCAGGTCCAGACTCTCCTGGGGAGGGCTCTGGCAGAATAAATTGGTTTTGCCTGTCCTCTTTTGTTCTTCTTCTTCTCCTGTTTCATATTTTCATCTCATAGTTGTAGTTGTAGCATAGTCCTGTCTTCATGTGTTTGTAGATCCGAATTCACCTTAAGCAAAATTTGCAGTAATACGTCTTGTTTGTCTCTGTGCCTCCCCAGTCTGCTTCAAGGTGTGTGATTTCAACATTTTTTCACATTTGGTAATTTGGATGTCATGTGTTCCATAGATGTATTGTGGGTGTTCCAGTAAGGACTGTGTTCTTGCCATACTAATGAGTCTGCTTGTGGACTTAGTAGATATATCTTGGGGAAACAAAAGAAAACAAGGGACGAAGTTGGGATGTATGTGTGCACTGTTTGACAATTTGGTGGGTATAAGGCCCATGCTATTTTTTTGGGTTCGGGCTCTGTGGTAGTTGACAAGACATCTCTCATGGTTTCCAGGATTTTGGCAGATTGCAAAATGTTGGAAAGGGTGGGGGTATGGTCAGATCACTGGTGGTACAGGTAAATGCGGAACTGTGTGATGCAGGCTTTGAGAACAGCTCCATCCAAATTGGCGATCACATAGCTGCCTCTGGCAGTATGGGTGACAACAACCATGGGACCAAAAAATTGGGGCTTTGATTTATGGTTGAGTTCCTTCTCAATGTGAGTATTGCAGATGAGGACCAGGGTGCCAGGTTTGAAGTTGTAGTTGGCAAGGATGTGCTCATGGTCCGCTTTAAATTGGTCAGCCATGCATAATCAGGCCTGGTGCACCTTCTCCTGAAGGTTGGATAAATGGGACTCACAGTGCTTGAGCTGTCAAATTTGGTAGGCCAGCTTGTCCCTGTCAGTCATAGGGAATTTGGGTGAGGGTATGAGGAATGTTGCTTGCTCAAAGTCCATAGGGAAGACCCGGTGAACACCATGTGCAATGAAATATGGGGAGAGACCAGTGCTATGCTGGACCAAAATGTGCTCAGCCCAGAATGTGGTAGGCACTTTGTCAGGGCATTGGTTAATATTATCTCCAGATGCTTTCAGAATTGCTTGTCAGACCATAAAATGTTTCAATTCAACAGCACCATTTGCATGAGAGTTGTATGGTGAAATTTGGATGTGCTGGATGCCAAAGTGTTGTTCCAGCTCCTTCACTGCAGCTACCCAGGCTGATCCATTGTCTGTAACAATTTCCACAATATTTCCCCAACAACAAATAACATTGTGGAAGAGGAAAGATGCAAGGGCCATTGTGGTTTCTGATTTTAAGGGATGCCATTTGGGATATGAAGAGAGGGAGCATCGGACTTGAGCAATGCAGGTGTATCCTTTTGCAGGTGGCATCTTCATGGTATCGCAGTAGATCTTTGAGAAAAGCGGAGCCAGGTAGTTGACTGTTGGAGGTTTGAGGACCTTCCAAATGCTGTGGACTTGACATGCATGGCAGGTGCAGAGGTACCACTCGATATTTGCATGGAGGTTGGGCCACCAAACTTGGAGACAGATAATACCAGCAACCATCTTGAAGCCTTTGTGACCACTGTCATCATGTGCTTGTTTCAACAAGGTGAGACATTTGGCAGGAGGGACATGAACTGGTGAGATTGAGTTGGCACAGTTTGCCATCTTGGATGAATACTGAAGGGACTGTTTGACGAGGGCTGCATGCTGCCACATATTCCAGTCTGGAGGGAGCAACAAATCCGTAAGGTATTGGTGGATAAATGCAATGCAGTCATCAAGGTGCTGGGTGGAGGAGGTCTGGGGGATTTCTATTTTGGGGTCAGAGTCTTCCACTGCAGATTGAAGGTAGGCTGGGTATGAGAGTCCCAGGCATTGTTCATGATCTATGTCAGGCAGGTTTGGAGCATCCAGTGAATTTGGGGAACAGCGGGAGAGACCATTGGGACTGGTGTGTTTCTTGGAGGGAACATGGACAAGGTCAAAGTCGAACTGGTGTATCCCACTGACCCATCTAATGAGGGCTGCAGCAGGTTGCTGGTCCGGATGCCTTTGATGCAGGATGCATCCACTTGAATGATAAATTGTGGTGTGCCAATGAGGAAAACCTGCAGTGCCCAGAGAGCATGATATAAGCCATATAGTTTGAGTTTGGGCTGAGAATATCGGGATGTGACCTTGTTCCATGCCAGGGATCTGAAGCAGGCCAGTTTCCATTTGCCATTCACGTCATTTTGGTATAAGACATATCCAACTCCTCAAATATCAGAGTCCACCATGAGGATAATCCGGCGGTTGCTGTCATGGTTGATGGGACAGAGGAGGCCATCCTGACATGCATCCACTTTTAACTGGTCAAAGGCAGCTTGGTGCTCAGGGCCCCATGCAAATATTGCACCTTTGCATTTGAGATGTTCCAGAGGGTGGGCTTTCATAGCAAAATCCTTTATGAATATTCAGAGGATGCAGAGCATACCCAGGAATGCTCAAACTTCTGTGAGGGATTTGCATGGCTGCCAGTCCCAGATTTTCGCAACTTTCGAAGGCTCAGGCTGTTGGCCCATGTAGGTACAATGTTGTCCAAGGATGACGACTTCAGGAGCGGATCCCATTTTTGGACCACTGAATATTCTGCCAGAATGTTCAATGTGGGTCAGGATCCAATTTACAGTTTCCATGTGTTCCCACATAAAATGACAAATACCCTTATTTTGGGGGTGCCATTTGAAATCACCATTGGGGAGTTTGTATCATGTTGGTTGGCCACAGATGGGGATGTTGTCAATGAAAGGGATGGTATATTTGGGGATCTTGTTGCGGAGGAGGAAAGTAACATCTTCATGCATAATCTGAACACCATTTGTCCTGCCCATCTAATTTTGGGTGCTATGGAGGGAACCTTTGAGGGATTGTAATGTTGTGAGATCCTGACTTTCCAGGTGTAAGAGATGTTGCTCAAAGCCCCAAAAGAAATTGAAGAGGGTGTAGATGGATCATCTGCCATAAGACTGACAAGGGGTTCAGAAAGTGGAGGGAGGGCTGAGTCCCGAATTGTTACACCGTTCAGTGGTTGCAGGTCCAAAACAGGTTGTAGGGATCTGTCTTTCTTCAGGATGCAGAACCAATGGGAATGGTAGGAGGATTGGGAGGGTTCATAAATCCTGCATTTAGCTTGTCTTGCAAGGCCTTTAAGACCTTTGGCAGGAAAGCAGGGGGGCACTGGAATATTCTTCTGCTGCCAGGGTATATGTTTGATCATCAGAATTTGGACAGGGTCGAAATAATCACTTTTAAATAAACCCATCTCTTGCTTGTTCCAAGCAAACACTTTTTTGTGGGTATGAAGAACCCAAGCCACAAGTTTTTCTTCTTTGGGCCAAAGGAATCTGTATTTGTTCATTTGCAGTTCTTCAAATCATTCCAGAGTAAGTCAATTTCCAGGGGTAAACATTGGTGGGGTATCAGGGAGCAGGGGAAGCATAGCAAGAGGGTTGGAGGGAAGGTGTCTCCATATTTTTACACTTTCCAGTGTTGTCATTGCAACAGGCTTCACACGTCTGTCTGCAGGTTTGTATTTTCATGTGGCATATACAGGATGGGTATTGTTGGGTATGGTATCCGAGTCTGGAGTATCTAGTTGAGAGCCATTAATCAAGTTTGAGTGCTGATTTATTGAGGTGTCCATTCCATCTTCTGTTTGCCAGTGAAGATGGTCCCAAATTAAAAATCCTGGACCACTCATTTCCTTCCCATTTGATGCAACTGAGTCCAGAGGTGTATTGTCTGCTGGGAATTTGGACAGGTGATCTGGATCTTCTGTTTGCCATCCATATAATCCTGCATGACACAAGAGGCATGGACATGGAAGGGGCGACCAAGGAGCAGGTGGAAAGGCAGATTGGGGAGTACAAATGCCTGGACATGGAAGTTGAGGCCGGAGACACCAATGCATAAATTTGGAATGTGTCCAAGCAGCTGATCAACCAATCCATTCACGGACTCCATTTGCCAGCCTTTTATCAGGGTGTATGTGAGTCCAATTTGTTCACAGCACTGCTCACTGATACCAACTATGCCAGAGCTGCCATTGAGAATGCCAGGAATGGGGGTGTCATATTCACTGATTAAACAGTCAATCTGCCAGAGGGGTACCATGTCTTTGCCAACCAATAACCTGTCTGCATCTTCCAAAATGCCTTCGATCTGGTAAATTGGAGCCTCACCATCTTGTACCTTGGTCACCTGAATTACATCCAGAATAGCCAGTTTCTTGCTGTATGCTTCCTTGAGGACCTTGCTGAACAGTGGACATGCTGACACCAGGACCTTGCTGGGAACTTGGACCAGAGTTTCAGTGAGAGTGACCACAAGAGCCTGCAAAACTGTTTTGTCTTCTGCATGTTCAGCATGTTTGGCATGGGGCTTTGGTGGGTCTGGGATGGCATCCAATTTCTCCAGTTCTTCCACTTGTAAGCCAGCAAAGTGTGCAGTACTATGATGTATGCATGCATCCAATTTCTCCTTCCTGGCTGCTGGTGTGTAGACCTCAGAAACCTTGACCAATTTTTCCATGGATGCCATGTGCCGTTTCTTGAGTCATTCCACCTCAGCCATGAGCACCTTGATTTCCTTGTCATTCCATTCAACCATGTCATCATGATTTTTGGTGAAAATGTGCAGCACCAAATGATCCACCATAACCTCAAATTTGGAGTCCAAGCCAGCATGTTCAATGATCACATTGTGGAAGGTGACAAGAGGGGTAGGCTGGGATTTTGGCCGGTGTTCTGGGTGGTCCTTGTAGTAGCCATCAACTTTTTCCTTGGGATCTTGACCAGGCCAATGACATGGGATAAATTGGCTGCCAGCAAGGACATGATATGGGCTGTCTTTCTCAAGGAGACCTTCATCCAAGTATTTCCGGGCTCCTGGGCATGTCGCAATCTTGTCCGTGTAACCAGTAGATACACCATTGAAGTGGCAGAGCATGCATTCAGTATTCTAAGGGCCATATCTGTTTTGATTTAGGTAGTTCTCTGCTGGGAAAGGAATCCAATTTGTGCCAGTAGCCAGTGTGTTGTTGCCATAGGTATTTTGGGAGGGCTGTCTGTAGGAGTTCTGCTGAGCAGCTGGTTGGTTCTGCGGGGTGGATTGCTGGTTCATAAGAGTGTAGATCTGGGAAACCATTCCTTCCAGGGTAGCCATACATCCAGTAAATTTGGCGACCTGTGGGTTGCTTTCCGTTTTGATGTCCTCTAGTGTCAGTGCCAGTGTTGCATCCTGGGAATAATCAGGAGAGGGTGTTCAAACCTTTGTCATAGTGTTGCCCAGTGCCCATTCCACTGTCTCCTTTAATTTGGCCATTGTCCATGGTTTGTTCACAGCCCTGTTGTATTTCCATTCAAGCCTGTTCAGCATCTTGTCCCAAATGTGGCTTTTGGTGGGCAGGAATTTGAGTATGTGGAGGAGGGACTTCTGTTAGTCAAGGATGGAAATCCGGTTGTGCTTGATGAGCCAGGTAGAAATTGAGTAAAAGTCCCTGTAGAATTGGCAAATTCACCCTTGGTCTTAATGCGGCATTGCCACTTGTGAACAAGGTTGTCAAGGTCCCAAGTTGCATACCAGTGTTCATTATTTGCTGCACCAGGATAGTACTTCAGTATTTCAGTCTTGAAATCCTTGTATGAGTCCTTTTTCACATTGTCCATGCCATTGTGGATCTGTGCCCATAATTTATAGGTGTTGTCATCAGTGTAAAAGCAGGCCCGGTTGATCTTGTCTCCTCCACCAGTGACAGCAGGTTCGCACAAGCCAAATAGTTTTTCCAAGGCCACAAAATAACGGGTGATGCCAAGAGGTGTAGGAGAAAAGCGGGGGGCTGAAGGAGACTCCCTGCCTGTAGGCATCATTCATTTACTTGCCATGAGGAGTCATCAGACTGTGTCCACTATATCAGAGGTACTCCTGCTGGAAGTGGATGATACTTCTGTGTTGTCCAAAATCATGGGTGTTTCTTGGAGTGCGGTATGTTGGGCTTGCCATTCATCCCTAAGCTCATTCTGTTGGTCTATGGCAGAGATGGATACTGGAATACAGGAAGCCAGTATCAGAAATCGGAGGAGGACTTCTCACCTTGGCAGCTCTTATTTGTAAAAAGCTGCCTCGCGTTGGGCTCCAATGTGATCCAACCCAAAAGGTGTCCAAAATATTGGTCTAATGGGTGGTGAGCGAGAACTCACCAGGGAAAGAGGGGAGAGAAGGGGAAAGTCAGTATAAAAGTGGGAGTCAGCCTGTAGCTGAGCTATCAAAAAGCAGTACACTATAATCAGAGCTCATTGTCTGTCCAGTCAAGTCATGATAAGTCAAGTCCAATATGCTAAGTCAAGATGATGTTGCCTATCCAGTAAGGGGATAATCAGATCCATAAAATGCTAATGGAAAAGGGGCAGAATAAGCTAGATACAGGAGTTTCTGGAAACTACTTATACTAGCTATCCTCAACTATACTTTATACCAATCCAGTCTCCAGATACCTCTCCAAGGCAGACGTTGGCATGCCAAATATCCAGATGGGCCAATCCCGTTGTAGGAGAAACCCGCAGTCATCATGCCAAATATCTGAGTAGTCCCATTGCCTGGGGAATCATAGTAGTCACCATGCCAAATATCCGGGGGGGTCGAGATTCATTGCTGGGGTGCATTGTCCTGCAGAGTGAGGGTCTGTAGTGCCATACAACAGTCTCTAAGGGCCCGAAAATAGCTGTGGGAATATCCACCTGACACACCCCACCAAAGGTGGGGTTGTTCATTGCACCGATTAACTTCTTCTGCTTGTGATCCAGCCAAGCCCCTCACACCTGGTGCCTGTTCAACCTTGACATGTGGATGGCCTGACCACTTCATTGGTGTCATTCAAGTCCTAAAACATGCACAATTGTATGATGTTGACAGATCTGAGTATGTGCCTAGGCACTGGATGTGAGCACATATGTGCAACATGCACATTTCTGTGAAACTGATTTTATATACAGACTCACTATCAGTGATGGAACAAAACACACACCTGTTTTGGTGGGCAAGGAAATCATGCAGTTTCTGAAGAAAGGCAGTGTGATGGACAACAGTGTGTTCCAGGTGGAAGGGTATTGGCAGATGTCAGTGAGGAATTGCAAAACCACATGAGTTTGAACTCTATGTGCATGTTCCCTTGTGTATTGATGTATTCATTGATGCAGCCCCATCATGCTGGAAGATATACATTTGCTATGTCAAGAACATGTGCCAATTGGCCATCCTGAGGCCCTCCCCTTGCCCCTCAAAGCAGATCAAGGCAGACTGGGGTCCAATGCTCACATCTCAATGGGGTACCCCAAACAGGCACCCCTTCCATATCCCGGTATTGTGAGTGTGGTGAACCAGGTTATGCAAATGTGCACTGTTTCTGTTATAGGGGAGACGGTGCAAGACATTGCTGATACTGACTGGGGACACTATGTGGGAGTTCCACATCATGCCAGTTCTCACATGCTCAAACCTGGTCCTCCTATTTGCATCACTATCAGGGACTTAGGGGTTATCATTGGCAGAGAGTAAGTGGTAAACTGGTGTGTCTTTGCATCCTAGCTAATATGCACCAGGTACTTCATATATGGGAGGATTACATGGATATTGGAGTTGGACAGCCATGGATATCCTGGCAAGCCTATGCACTACTTGTGCAGGTTCACCATCCATGATGAATCAGTGCATGATCTTTCCTCACCAACAGCATCATGCTGATTTCATCTGTAGGCTGAAGTCAATGTGGTTGCGTGGGAGGGAGCTGCTCTTGCTGCTGGTATGCTAGAGGTTGGAGAGGTTAGTTCACTTGCACCTATTTTGCTCTGCTAATTTCTGGGACAATATGTGCAGCTTTACAGCTTTGAGCATTTTGGCCTCCAGGAGGCCAACATGCAGTTCACATGGTTGAACAACTGGTGGCAGGTCCAACTCACACCCAACCATGTGCAGGTTCACAAAATCAATGACAACAGCACTATTCCCAAAGTGTATTATGACTTTTGAAGGCTCAATGCACTTGAGAGGATTTACAAGAATCATCATGTTGGTATGTAATCTGTGCCTTTGGAACATGCACATTTTCTAATCAGAGCATCAGATGTAGTTGCTGTTATTCTGTGCCTTGGAAAGCCCATCAAGAGAACATCCACCATCATTGAGGAGGTACGCAAGTTCCCAAAGTGCTCTCTGATCTTATTGAACTTGCGCAGGATTGGACAAAAACAAAGATCAAGGTCAATCATGTCCATGTTTACCTCACTGACCATTCTGGCGAAGCAGTACATCTTGCTGCTTTCGACAATTATATGGATGCCTTTGTGGGCAGAGAAGGGCAAGTTGTTATGATAAAAAATGCATTGATTGACCATTTTCAAGGCTCTGTTTCATTGAAGACACACAACAATGAAACTGAAGTGTGTTACAATGTGAAGAATGCAGCGCACCAAGCTCTCCTTTCCTGGTTAGTGGGACAATCTGTGCAACTTATTTAACTGACCATCATCAGGTTCAGTTGTTCAGTGAATCACATGAAGACCATGTGCTTGATCACTGAAATGTGGAGCGCAGATAGCATGCCGGATCCTGTGCTGGTGGCCCACACGTCATTGGTGATGTTAGCTGAAGTTGTGCAGCTTGTCCTGGGAAAGTCTACTGTCCCAGAGGTCATCAAGGTGTGCAGATTTGTGCATATGCTGAAGGCTCAAGATCATACATATCCAGCTTGTCTGGATATCAATTGTAACAAGAAGGCACAAACTGCGGAGATGGATAGGGAAATGGGTGCGTTTTTTTGTGCCAACTGCAGCAACATGTATCGCACACCTTGTATAAAGTGAGTGTTTCAAACTGTGTAAGACATACTCTAATGTGCACCAGGTATCATTTTAATGTCATTCTAGAGGACACGAAGAAGGATAAGCACTGGGTGACAGCATTCAATGGCACCAGTGAATGTCTTTTTGGCATGCCTGCAGCTGACATGGCCAAGCTGCGCCAGGATGTAAGTGGATTTGGGCAAGTTGATGGTATCTACTAATATGTAAACAGGACAATGAGGCATACCAGCCCAAGTTGGCACTCATCGGATGCCAACTGTACACTGTTACTCTGCAAATTCAGTCTCTGAGTGTGAAAATTGCACGATTTCAGATGAACACTGTGCTCATGGTGTATTCAGTATGCTTTTGATGACTGGGTGGCGATTGACTTTGTGTACTGGGGGAATTAGCTTATGAGAAACATGCATGTACAACTAGTGCAGATTCCACATGTGGAGAGTATGGATGGACCACATACAAGAGCATGATGCTGAACTGGCACAAATTCCATTGCATTAAGACATGTCAGAGACTATGTACACCCCGACAGACTTAGCACAGGTTTAAAGAGGGGGGATGACAAAATCAGTGCTCCCTTTCCTTCCCCTTGCTCATTGATCCCTGCTGATCCTTCAGCTGACTTTCAAGCTCTGCGATGTGCCTGAGTCTATCCCTTTCAGCTATCCAAAGATGTGCATTTTCAAAAGACAATGTTGTGTTCTGGTATTCGGAGTGGTGCACACATTTGGTGAGATCATACTGGAGGTGCTCATCTTTGGCAAGGAACATGCACTGGGCTGAGATCATGTTGTGATCATACAGCATCTTTGCCTGCATGGCTTCAACTTGCATGGGTTGGGCATCTTCAGAAGGGAACCAGCACATGTTTTCTGGTGGTCCTGAAGGCACTACGGGGAAACAGCACAGGTTGACCAAGGCTGCAGACAGCTCTTCATCCTCTTCACTGGACTCGGATCTGTCATCCCTCTTAGAGGCAAGCCAATGCCTGTAGAAAGGGTGAGCACATGTTTCAAAGAGGGAATGAATATGTGCATGTTGGACATGAAATATTGCTAGTGCCAGTGCCAGGTACTCTTGACTGCAGAGGAGAAGGGGGTTTTGTGCCTGGTCCACAGGTGTGGTGTCCCTCCAGAGGGGAGCCAACAGGCGCAGATCTATGTAAATGAGTTTGAACTGGAGAATTCAAAAGCAGAAAGTGAAAGAGGCACACCTGGCAACAGATGCAACAGGGGCGAAGGTCACATGAGAATGGCAAGTGCTGGCACTTGCACTGAGGTCAGATACTGCACAGGATTAGGGTGAAAACACTTATGATGCAGGACAAGCAGGGAGGGGAGTAGAAGGACCCTCTGGTGAAGAAGGAACCAGAATCCTGTGCTGGGGAGCCAGGGCAGGCATTGGGGGTAGAATGAGCAATTTGCAAGGCTCTGTGGGAACAGAGGTACTGAAGGGGTTGTCATTATTATGGAATATGTGCATCAATCCAGCTTACCTCTTCTCAACAGGAACTGGTGCAGGCAGGGCTTGAGAAGACAGCAGGGACAGGGGATCTGCTTCCACACCCATTGGGGTTGGAGGAGGGAGACGAGTGGGGCAGGCGCATGGCATTGGAGATGGGCTGCTCCACCATGGAATAGGTGCAGAGAAACCAGTCAGGGTGACAACCTGGTGCAGATTTGAGCTACTAACAGGTGTGGAAGGATCAGATTGGCACTGATTGAACACATGAGCAAATGAGGCGCAGTTGCCAAGGGAAAGAAATCTTACTGGAGTGACAGGCATTTTGAAGCAATGCTCAGAAATGGTGGAATGGGAGTAAGGAGAGTGGAACACATGCTGATTATTATCATCATGATGAGCAGAAGCAAACTGGTGAGGGAAAACTGAGAGCCAATCATGTGAGTTTCCCAAGTGAGAATAATATTGAGGCAATAGGATGGAGCAGAGCTCAAACTCGTGCTTCTTCATCATGATTGCTCATGCATGATAACTCCTGAGCAAGAGCCAGTATCGTAATATTGCGCTGTTGGATTGCAAGCTGTGCTTGCAACAGTTTGTGGGTCACAGTGGAATTTTGTCATTTAGAAATTCAATTTGCACCATTTGCTCAGCTGCTTGATCCTTACATGTTGCCAGATGCATGCTGAGGATATTGTAGATAGCAGGGTTGATACCAGATGTTGAGGCAAGGCATGAGTTCATGGCGGATAAGGTGGCAGTTGAAGAAAGAGTTAAGAAGGGAAGGGCACAAAATGCAGGCTTTGATTGGACACATGCACAGATTGCCAGTTAAGGAAGGAAAGGAATCAAAACCTATGCAACAAGTTGTGTAGGTGGACATTGATTAGTAATATGTGCAAGGAAATGATTTGTCATCATGAGCACAGATTGATTGGGCACATGTTTAGAAATTGTATGTAACATCTGAATCATCTGGCTCTGGAACCTTGGAATCTTCCAGAAGGTAAACAGCATTCAGCATGAAATTTACCTTATGGGACCATTCCTTTTTCAGAGTGCCAGGGTCACATCCTTCTTTGTCAAAGTGCTTACAGATGCACATTTCCATCAGAACAAAGTCACCTTTCTTCAGCTTTGAAGCAGGCCAGTTCATCATTTTTTTTTTGCTGCCATTTTCTCACAGGCATCATAAATGGCAGTGAATTCTGTGGACTGTATAGTGAATAAGCACAGGTTTTGGTGGAACAAGTGTAAATAAGGTTGTGTACCGACCCATCAGAACCATATGCCTTCTGGAAGTGGTTTGCAATGATGCTCCCAAACAGGTTGCTATCTATGCCTGTTCAGACCCATGAGCAACGTTGAAAGAAAAGAAAAAAAAGAAAAGTGGGTGCACTGTTTACTGGATGGGCATATGCCTTACAAAGCTCCATGGCAGCTTGCATGTCATCCTGAGTGATAGGCATTACACTCAGATAAACTTGATCAGGCCAGGCACCATTCTCCTGCTGAAATTTCAGGGCAGCAATGCATCTGGTGATCCATGCAAGGATGGGAACATTGTCAACTTGTGCAAGGTAGTTAGACATGTCCAATGCTTGATCAAAGCCCCAGTGCAAATTGAGTGGGAAGCAGGAGATATAATAGACACCACACAAGTTGTCAATGTATTGCCAGAGCTTTAGAATGTGCTCTCACATGGGGAGATCAAAGCTTGACAGATCAAGCTCAAAAGGTTCTTTCATTGGCAATGCTGCACCAGTGTCCTGGGATTTGATGGTATTGTCTGAATCATTGTTGTTGGAACAAAGCAACATGTGCAATTTGGTTGGGGTCACAGTGGACAGAGAGCCAAGACACATTCTGCTGGAATTCAATGGGAGGGGAACAATACAAGCATGAAAGAGTTTGCTACCAGAAAAAATGTCATTGGGAGTGGAAAGCTCAGCTGCAGAGCATTTGCCCATGGTGTGTGGTTATTGGGTGTCCTAAGACTATATGCAGGTATCAGCCACCTTTTATATGGACAAATATTAGTACTGAGATGAGACTGTGCAGATGAAATTAAGCAGGTATGGCATGTGGAAATTCAGTGGCAGTCAGAGCTGATAAATTCTCTAACCTTTTCATTTCCAATCAAAGCTCAGAAGGGGGGGATCAAAAGATGCACTGCATGGGAAACTCCCTGAGAATGGCAACACCAGAGATAGATCGAACTCGGGATAGCATCACATAAGCACTTTGAGGGGATTTGCAGCCAGCAAGGTCCACAATTGCATGGTTTAGTGAATGGCCTTGACTTTTGTAATCTGTATAAGAGTAAGCAGGAAGGATTGGGAGAAATTCCCTGGTTACTCAATAAGATTGAATATTTCCATCTGCATCAGAAGTCTGCAAGGTAAAATAGCCTTTCACAGTCTGAATGCAGATTGTGTTTGGTGGTAAGCCTTCTTGAGCACCTGGACAAGTGGGCATGCAGATGAAAATGGCATGGGCATAGCAACAACCATCTCCATCACATTGGTAACACACCCCGGAAACAGTGCCAGTCATTCCAGTGACCAAGCCAGGGGAAATTGCTAGATTCTTGGTGATCATAATTTGCATGCCTTCAAAAAGCAGGAGAAAAGGTGGTGCATCTTCAGTCTTGTTAACAGGAAGCTTCCAAAGAAGATCTTGGAGTTCTCCAGTGATGGGAGTTTTTTGAATAGAATCAGTTGAGAAGTACAAGTGGAGTCATGATCCCAGCTGGAGCACATGGTGAGTTGCCAAGAGCAGATTCAGCGCACCTCAAAAAACCTTTGTACACACAATGACTGGTGCATCTTCAAACTCAGTCACAAGTGTGTGGAAATTCTCCTGCATGGCTGTGATAGTGCATGCATTAAGCACTGCTTGGTCGTTCACAGGGAAGTTGGTGCTGATTCCAGCTTGTGACATGGTGTGTGGGCTGCTGCCAGTCCATGGGATGCCTTCTTGAATTTGTGCAAGAAGATTTGCCCAGGATGGGTCTTTGGACTGGTGCTGGTTTATTTGGAGGAAAACAGCATGTGTGAGTTGTTGCCACAGAAATGCCCCAGTTATCACCTTTTGGCCCTTCATGGACTGTGTTGTGCACAGGTTGCATGCTTGTACAAGGAGGTGGCTGTAAAGGGGAAGGGCACTCATAGGCTTAAGCTGTGCAAAGTCCCCAGTGAAAATGACATTGATGCCTCCAAATGCAGTGCCATCTTCAGAACCTTTGGCAAGCAAGATTTGTTCAGATATCTCAGCCAGAAGCTGTGCAGAGATCATGCTGATCTTGTCAATGATTAACCAGTGCTTCCCATACCAAATCTGTGCAAGTGCATCAATATTAGTGCATTGCTGTGGCTTCTTGGGTAGCAATGTGAGTGCATGTATTGTAGAGCCACTGATTAGTACAGCAGCAGTGCCAGTTGGTGCTGAGAGGAGCAAAGAATCTGAGATGCTGAGTGTGCTGAAGAGGAGTTTGATACTCTTGATCACGTGGCTTTTGCCAGTACCAGTGCTGCCTCTGACATAGAGAAGCAACTGGTGTGAGTTCGCTTCATTGAGGTAATAAGCAACAATACAAAGAATGTGTTGCTGCTCTGGGTTTTGCAGTAAATTTTGTTGCTGCAATACACTTTGAAGAACTTGCACAATTTCTGGCATTGTGGCATTTCCAGAAATTGATCCTTGGCTGATGGAAGCAGTTTGCACAGAAACCACAGACACAGAAGGGGGAATGTGGATATTTGGAATAGGCACAGGTTGTAATGGTTGTGAATGAGTTGCCTTCTATCGGCGCAGTTCAGCAGCATGAGAGAGCAGCAGGGCATTGTCATCAGCTCAGAGTTTGCACACATTGCCATCTTCACAGAGCATTACCTGAAATGGTGCAGGTGTATGACAGAGAAGAGAATGAATCATGTCCAATGTGACAGACTGTGTAGCCAAGTTCAACAAGTCCTGTGCAGCTTCTATGGAGGTGAGGAATGTTGACTGATCAGCATCTATTGTCTCAGAAAGATCCATGAATGATGGGTCATCTATGGCAAGCTGATCCGCAAGCTGATCCATATCATCTTCGATGTTTCCCTCAAAATTCATGTTTCCCCCAAAAGGAATTTGCGTGTGCTGATGGGGACGCCTAGAGGCTGCATGCACATCTCATGCTTCTTTACATTTGTTCAGGGCTTCCATATTTGCAATAATGTGCTGATGAAATGGTGCAATATCAGCAGCTGCGTATGCATTGGCCCAGGTGGATGTCAAAGGTTTGAGGTCCCCAGGAGAGCACCAAGGAACAAACAAGACAAGAACAGTCTTGTACCAATCATCTGATTGCAATGGAACCACCAGAACGCCTCAGTATAGAGGAACCACCAATATTGGGCACCACAGGGCAGGATCCTGCACAAAGTTGATGAGTGGAAAACTGAGGATGAGCATTGAGGAAGGTACCGCATGGGTTTTGGGAAGAGGAATCACCATCACCATCCACATCTGTCACTAGCGCATGTTGTTCATTGAAAGGATTACTGTCTCCAACAGGTGCTAATTTCCCTTTGGGGATCCTTTCCTTTTGACAGAAAGCAACAAAGTCATACAGACAATAGTCTGTGAAAGGTTTACAGGAGGGATGAAGCATGTAGTCTTCATATGGATTTGAGACTCCTGGGAGTCCATTTTCGAATGTGAGGGGAACATTAACAGCATTGTGGATGCCACCAGCCAGTGGAACTTCCTCAATGAGGTCATGTAGTGCAGAATCACCAAATTGCACTATTCCATCATTGCCAACATCAACTGGCACAGATTCTTGGTGGGATATAGATTTGCACTCATCCATCTCATCAGAGTCAGAACATAAGCCGAGTTGCACAAGATGACCAAAATAAAGCAGCAACAAAAGTTTGGCAAACTGAGAGTTGGTGTAGTAATCCCCTCCCCCCCCCCCCTACCCTACGA